TCGCCGAAGCTTAGACAGGGGAAGTCGAGAGCCAGAGGTCGGGTTCGAACCTCGCACCTTCCGGTCAGTAAATTCGCGCTCTAACCCCTTGAGCCACCTGGACCCGGTGAAAAACCCATTTCGACCAATTGCGCAGCAGCACAATTGTTGTCACACTGTGAACATCGTTAAAAAGTACCCGCAGACGCGTGCTGTGTATAAACTGGATATAGTATAGGTCAACCCACACTCGCGTGTACTTGCTCATTCCCTCACCACTGTGATCTTTTTCCGATTATACCTGAGTTTTTGGAAGTTCTGTAGGCACTCTGACGAGACCTTTTCTTTCGTCCTTGTTCAAAAACTTTCTATCTGGGATCGCCTCGCAAAAGGCATAACTTCGGTACGCGCGACTACTCTCCTCACCAAGTGCCTATGATCTCTTGCCAGTCGACAATCAAACTCTATTTCGCCAAGTGCCTATGATGTCTTGCCAGTCGACAATCAAACTCTATTTCGGAACTATGCGTGCGGCAGAGTCGATCATCAATTCGCAGCAGTGCATACAGTCTGCATTCCTCAACCTGACTCGCTTGTTTGTTCACTCAGCTGGTGGCGAATTCTCAATTGCTAACACAGCTTACGGAAACGATACCAATCTCGTAGAAGGTAGCCGTGGAACGAACCACATTTCTCGACTCTGATAAGACATTGGAGCCCCCTGGGGAGGGGATGAATTCTAGCCCCTGTCTTTAGACAGTGTCCTCAGGAGAAAACCACACTGAGGATGACTGATCTGGGGGTTCTGATTTCACGGTAGAAGAAAACGGAGTCCCTTACTCTGTTCTTGTGAAACTAAACTGGCATTGCTGCTCTTCCGTCTTTCGCTTGTAATGATTGCTCCCTCCCCATACTGTATAAGTGAATCTTCCTTCAAGAATAGTTGACTGCTGGCTGCATGGATACAATCGAAAATTGTTTGAAAAGCATAAAAGGGAACTGCTTTGAAAAGACCACAGCTAACAGGGAATTCGATTGGACTTGCCCTCGGAGTTTGACCTTGACCCCAGATCCAAAGATCAATATCCAGTCAGGTAGTCGTAAAAGATTACTTCGATACTGCAAACCTTGGACAGGATATATGTGCTTCCATAGTGACCTTTGCTCGCACGAATGTCGATCGATATGAGTACTGTTTAGTTGTTCAGTTCATAGGTTAGACGTGAGATCTATGCAAGCTAACAAAAATTACCTCGTCACGGTCGCTCCACTGGACTTCTGCGCACTTACTGCTGAATCTCTCTAGCGGTGTTCTGATCTGAAGACTGGTGGTAACTACTTTATTAAAGCAGCTCTAAAAAGTTTACGAGCAAGGTTCAACCGGGATATCATTCCGCTGTTGAAGTCAATCCACGCTGAAACGCTGAGACAACTGTACGACTGTTTTGTCCTCGCTGAAAATCATTAGCAGTCGAACACTGTACCATTCAACCACAATTGGATGATCAGCAATGCGAACGACCTAATATAAGACCTAATAAACTACTCACGAGGTTGCTGAAAACTCTTCGACAACTCACGGCCGGTTTCGTCTTTCTTCAGGCTCATCAGGTAGGCGCCATTCCCTAGTTTCCCTCAACTTATGTTCTACTTGAACCCAAGTTGCACGAAATTAGCGAAATACACTCATTTGCTTAACAATTTAGTCTTGACGGGTTACTCACCTGGGGGGCGAGATGGCCGAAGTGGTTAGAGCGCGGATTTACTAACCTGAAGGTCCGCGGTTCGAATCCGACCTTCGCCACTCGACTTCCCCTGTCTAGGCTTGGGCAACCTGGCAGTATCCCAGCCCTCGTGCTCCCTTCGGGTGGCATGGCAGCTAGGCACCGGAAGGGTGCTACAGCTGAACGCTTTATCTATAGCGCTTACTCACCTGAAACCCAGCTGAATCTCTCGCTTCTGATGTCTCCAAGCGACCAAATGTGCTGCACCGCCTCATGTTTCACTTGGTGCGATATTCGAGATGTCGCTTCATAAATGGGAGCTTCGGCATGGTTCCAGGCGAGTCTCTCAGCGAAATGGGTGTACTTTCAACCTAAGACCGTTTAAGGTGCTTAGTGAAGTCGGCATTCTGGAGAGCATGCTGATTACTGGTCACCTTTTGTTCCAACAAAGTGCTCTCTCTCTCCTAGCGCCGGTTCTTGCGTAGAATTCCGGGAGCACTACTGTCCGAATGTGAGATTTGTCATTACTGAGCTTTTGATTGACCTTGTTCGCATTTGTAAACAAAATTTTGTCCAACAAAGGTATCGAAGATTAGACCAAATTTCTTCAAAAATTACTGTTTTTAAGAATCGAACGAGACCGTCTTAGAGGATATTGGTGCGAAGAACTCTGCCCATAGGTTAGAGGTTGGAGCATATATGTCGTCTAAAAACTTTGAATGAGAGTACCAGCCGTCCTTTCCGGTGGAACTTCAGAACCCCACTTCACTTGTCATGTTGTTTTCATTCCCACGAAAACAAATGCATTCACAGATGTGTCAAGCTGATTTTGTTCTTCTGTCTTGAGTTACGCAACTTTTTTTACGGTTGCTATGCCTCACTTAGAGTCTTGACTCCCGTTCACTTCCGATGTCCTCTTCGCCTTCCTTATCTCAACGAGTCCATCGATGGGCATTCTATGCTACTCCTCTCCCCTCCGGTATGCCGTGTAGTATTGCTCTACTGTTTCACATCCTGCCCATCAGAAATTTCAAAAGATCCGCCGACAGGCTGCCTCCTTTGCGAACCTTTTTATCCATTTCACCGTGTGTTTGGTTGGATGACCAAGTAAACAGATTATGAGTTCTCCGGTTGGTGGCGCCTGACTTCGCGTGGGAAAAACATTCATTGCCTATGAAGTAGTCCCGGTACTTTTAAACTTAAGAGGAGAGCTCAGGAACCACTCGGGTTAGGCGTCGTTCCACACCGATACACCGTCTGCGTGATTGGCGATGTGTAGCGAGATTTCTCATGTAGGCAAAAGTTGATCAATCAGCTGGCTTGCCGTCTACCTTCTTTGCTGTTTTCCATTATAAATATACATATATACTTCAGGTATTTTTCACCTCCCTTTTGTCGGGCAAAGTCCACGCGGTGCCTTGGTGGTTTCGGGCTCCCTCTGGTCAAACTTTTTGATTAATATATGTTTATCCCCCTTTGCACCCTCAGCTGGCAGCTGAAAACGAAATGTTGGTCAATCGCCTAAAGGAATCTCAAGGCAATCAGCAGCGATTGGCTAACGAG